GCGTCCACGTTGATAACCGCGATGAAACGGCACCAGAGGCGCGCGTCGCCGGGGTAACAAATGGCCGTTCGCTAAAAAATAAATAATAACGACTCGCCCTGCACCACGCCGCTAATGAGGCCGCGGGCCCCGTCCGCCCGTGGGGCCGCCGTGCGGCGTCCGCGAGCGGCTGCCAGCAGCCGTCCCCTCATGCAAATCGCCACCCCCCCCCCCCCCCCTCCTGCTGCATAATTCAGATTGGAGAGGCGAGCAGCGACGATCCCCTAACGGGAAGCCGGCGGAGCCGCGGAGCGTCCGGAGGTTCCGCGAGGAAATAAATAAACAAATAATGAATTCATTGAACTGCGCGCCGACTTCATCTCCGTGACGGGGAGAGGGGCGACGAGACGCGGATAGACAACGGGCAGAGTGGAGAGACAGAGGAAGAGATGAGGAGGAAGATGAGAGGAGTGAGGAGGTGGAGGGCAGGGTTAGCGATCGCTCAACCTCACGGTCGCGAACAGCAGCAGCAGGAGGACATCGCTCCACCGTGACCACGTCTGCTTGATGAACGCCCTCTCGCTCGCTCGCTCATGACGGCCGTTCATCAATCCTCCAGCCAAGGGCTGCGGGAATCGCGGGACGGTGAGAGATGGCGACGGCTCAAGGGCACCGCCATCAAGCAGCGGATTGATCAAGTCTGACGATGAAGACGATGATGATGACGACGGCGACAAGAGCCAGCCCATCCAAACGAGAACCTCTCACGAAATACACCGCTCGTTAGCAAAATCACCGTCAAGGCTTTGATCAAAAGGAGGCCCTGCGGAAACGTCCGAGCGAGGCGTCACTCAGCTCGCCACCGGCATAGACGTGAATTCGTGGGGAGACCCCCGCCGCCGCCCCTCCCACGCGTGCTGAACTACTGACTCACGCGACAAGTCCGAGCCGTGAGCGCCAGGCTGCGGGGGGGGGGGGGGAAGGGGGGGCGGGGGGGGGGGTGCCGCCACCACCGCTTGGTTCGTCATCGCCCTCCACGCTCCGAACGGTGCCACAAAACCTGGCCCGTGGAAACTTCCTCCCCCCCTCTGCGGGCATGGGGAGGCGTGGGGGGGGGGGGCATGGGGCAGCCGTGATTCCACCTTCGCGTCGTTGCTTTCCCACCAGAGCAAATCGTCGCGCAGGAGAGAGGAGTCCGGAATGGAGTGGACTGATCATGCCGGCCGGCTTGTGTTGTTTGTGCTCGTTTACAAGTTACAACTGAGTTGGCCGTTAAACCCAGCTCTCCTCCTCCTGCCCCCCAGCCCCCCCCCCCCCTCCTCCTCCTCCTCCTCCAGGGCTGCCAGCTCGCTCACGTCGGTATCTGGTTTTGGGTCAATAAAGCCGGAGATTTAGCGCATCTCGGCTCCAGCGCGAAGGTTTAATTGAGGCGGCGATGACCACGCGGACGTCGGCGTGGCGGCTCAGTGCTCGGGAGAGCGAGCGGCCCCCGGTTGGAACGCAGAGAGTCCAACGCCTGGTTGGGGGTTGGCTCAGCACATCGTCCCTCCAGGCTCAAAAACAAAAGTACCACGTTGTGAACTTCTTTCGCACCGTACGTAGCCAAGCGTGCTATTCGGAGGTGCGGGGAAGGACAACAAGAGCGCTTTCCCGTGGGCAGCTGAGAGGGGAGGGCAGCTGAGAGGGGAGGGTAGTGTGCGTCTAAGCGACTCTGTGAAGGACCGCTGCGAGGGATGGGTGAGCGAGGGGGCGAGCGAGCTTGTGCACACCACGACCGTATCGATCATTCAAAGCCAGAAGTGAGAATCAGAACGGGTTCCCGAGCGAGCGAGTGGAACATTTATTCTGCGAGCCAGTGGTGGGAATACCACACTCCTACGGCTGTGGCGATGTGTTTCCTTGCGACAACAGGGTTCGTAAAATTCGTACTCATTTTAATTACCCCCCGCCCCGTCACCTCGAGCGGGGATTGAATGGAGCCGCCGTTCTTGAGCGGCGGTGGCACTCAGCCATAAGCGCTGACGCAACAGAAAATCAATCAGTGCTGAATAAGTAAACAAGTCGGCGGGAATTAAATGAGACGTAATTAGATTTTAATTTGAGAGGGGAGGACAGTGGCCCAGCTGCAGGAGCTGGGCATGACTGGGGAGGTGGGCACGTGACGAGCAGTCGCTGCCATAGCAAGACGAGGTATTCTGGATGTGGTGTGCTGGGTATGAAAACATTTTCCTGTGTTTCTGCTTGGACTAGCCAATGACCCGATACCAGCGGTGTCAACAACGGCCTATGTGGAGAGAGGCTCCTGAAAGAAGCTAGATACTGGGCAGTGCCAGGCTAGGTGCACTTTTGCGGCTCCTGGGCAGCTGGAGGCAGCCGCCCACCAACAACAGCGGTAGGCGGAGGAGCGATGCTCACAAAAACCTGCAGGTAAAACGCAGTGAGCAGGCACAGTGGGCAGCGCAGATGGTGCATCTGCCAGACATCACAGTCAGTCAACCCATGGCACCTGGGTCTGTCCCATGAGCTCCTGTCAGCGGTAAGCCTTCCACACTTCTTATAGCCTCAAAGCTAAGAATACAGACCATGTAACTCGCATTGGCCAAACATCCCAAATCTGAAAATTACTCAAATGAGTCTTGAGACTCAGTGCAGCTCTTTTGGGTAAACAATGTTAACATAATGAAGTGCTATCCTGGCAAAAGCGATTTGGTGATGTCATCACTATTTTGTGGTGAAAAGCAGTTGTTGTGTATATCTGTGTGAGTCTTTGCATACCTGTGTGTGTAGCTGTGTGTGTGTAGCTGTGTGTACCTATGCGTGTATGTGTGTACCTATGTGTGTGTCTGTGTGTAACTATGTGTATGTGTGTACATGTGTTTAACTATGTGTGTGTGTGTCTGTAGGGAAGTGGTAGTGTAGCGGTTAGCACGCTGTACTACGAACCTGGCGACACGAGTTCGATTCCCGCTCATGGCCAACACCAGTGACGATTATCTGAACCGGTCCTGGGCCTCCCCTAGGTCGACTCAACCTCAAATTAGTACCTGGTGCGGTGTGTAAACATCGCCATGTCAAAGACAAAGGCGGCCCGGCGTGGTGCTGGCCACCCAACCCCTTGTGTGCCATGCTGACATTCATAGGTTCTCGCTATCAGCACTTGCCCCAACAGTCTGTTCAGGCTATACAGGGGATCTTTGTCTTTTGTGTCTGTGTGTAGCTATGCATGTTTGTGTACCTATCTGTATGTGTACATACATATCTGCCTGGGTGTATACCTATGTGTGTGTGTGTCTTTGTGTGCAGTACCCACAGCAAACATGGGCACAGTGCAGGGCGCGGTGCAAGCGAACTCGTAAATAATTCAGGTGGAACCCGAGTGGGTGGCAGGTGGGTGAGTGGTGAGCAGGTGGGCAGTGGGTGGCGACTGGGTGGCAGGTGAGTGGTGGACGGGTGGATGGTGGGTGGTGAGCGGGTTGGTGGTGAGTGTGTGGCCTGGTCCTGTTTTCATGTTGTCACTCACTCGAACACACAAGCGCACACACAGCGACCAGAACAACAACGGCGACATCAGGACGGCGCCTGTGCCAGGCTCAGTGCACGTTGAAGCCACAACATCACAAGACGTTGGCATGGCACATCCCGCCCGAGCGAACGGGCGCCGCTGTTAGCGCCATCTCGTCCCCAAGGGAGACCCGGGCGGGGGGGGGGGGGTCTCACAGCGCAAACTCGGGCCGCTGTGGGCGTGCGCTGTGTTCACACGCTCGCACGGCCTAACATTTGCTCCGAAATAGAAGGGGAATATTTGGAAACCCCAAATTAATTTGCGAATTTCAAGTTGAGCGAGCTGAGCAAACAAACAGGGCGGTGAATCGCTCCGCACGCACGCGCGACTCTGTGTGTGTGAACGAGCGAGCAAGCGAGCATGCACGCGCCAGAGTGTGCCGAGCAAGAGGGCAGAGCGATAACAATCATCAGATTTATTGTAGCACATCTATGGGGGAGGTGGGGGGGGGGGGTCTGGGGGACCCTTGCCCCCCTTGATAAGAAGCACTTTCCACTAAATTCAGAATCAGAATCTGTATTTATACTGGAGAAATCCGATGAGCTGTAAAGCTCTTTTTTTACAGATGTCCAGTAGGGGCGGGTCAGAACGTTACAAAAACATATACCGCTCTGATAATTACAATGTCGGCTTGACTGTCACGTGACAGACGTTACTCTCACATGGCAGAGCGGGTGGTTCCTGAAGAAGGGGTCTCAGAGGAAGCTCTGAGATATCCGCTTGACGGGCGGTTCCCTTTTGTGAAGGGGTCATGGAGGACAAATCCGTCTCCTGTTGTGACAAATTAAGACTCTCCCACCAGCACCACCACCACGGTGGTGGTGGTGCTGGTGGGAGCATGACGAACGGTGATGACGCGGAGAGACGGGGAGGAGGGCCCGGCTGTACGCGGTCAACTCTGCCAGCCGCACGCCGGCAGCGAACACACCACCCGCAAGCTCGCCATCCAGCCGTGGGCAGCAGCCACGCCCATCTCACCATCAGCCATGATCAATCCACTGCTGGATGTAGGACTCTCCCAGGCCGTTGCCATCGAGCGCAATGCAACAATGCGACCGGACTCCGCGTTGCGACATCCTCTCGGCGCGTTGCCTCCTTCGGCTGTCACTGCATCTCGAGTCTCGCCCATCATCCCCCACTTCCAGCGATCAGCGAGCGTGCGCTCCTGCGCATGTTCCTCTTCCTGCCTCTTGGCGTCTAAAAATCCCCGTAAAGAGGCACACGACGGGCGGTCGAGCGTCTCTTGCGTCGGCGCTCCTTGCGCACGAAGCGTGAGCGAGCGCCGCAACGGCGTGGGGAGGTAAACAGCAACACGGCGGGTGACCAGCGTTGTCAAAGGCATGCCGCTTACGCAACGCGCCCGTCGCGATCCCCTAAGCGTGCCCAACGTCGCGTTCGCGTCCTCTCAGCCAGCCACGCTGCCGACGCGGCTGCGCGCGATCCCTCGCCCACAGCTCACCTGAGGGCAGCCCCGCCTCCACGGTGAGGTCGTGACCCCCGGTCTGCAGCCAATCAAAGTCGTCCTCTTGGTCCTGGGAGTAGCCGCAGGTGGCGAGGTCATTCTCAAACGAGCAGCTTCCTGGAGGTGGGGGGGGAGTGTGGGAAGGGAGAGAAAAGAGTGCATGGTCACACGTGGCAATATCATCATCAGCCATGATCTATCCACTGCCGGATGAAGGTCTCCCCATGCAGGGCAGGTGGTGGGGATCGCATTTGTGCTCTGGTCGGTGCGGGTTGGTGAAGGAAGGTGGGGAGCATAGACCCAGCGACACAGCTGCAGGGGAACATTAGATTCTACTGCGCACCACGCAGCCACCTATTACACCTGAGCGTGCATGGTGGTCGACCTACACACAGGCCAAACCTCACAGCCACCATCTCACGGTCGTCCTCGCAGTGGCCCGTGGGGTGTCAGGGTGAGTGTATGCCGCAAGAACGGCTCATTACCAGAATGAGCCAGTTGCCTACAACACCAACAAACAAAGATCTCCCGTATAGCCTTCACAGACTGTTGGGACAAGCACTGTGAACGAGTAACTATTAAGGCTAGCACGGCACACGAGTGGGTGGGAGGGCAGCACCACGCCTGGCAGCCTTTGCCTCCCGAGTCGCAATGTTTACACACCGCACCAGTTACTCATTTGAGGCTGAGTCGACCAAGGTGAGGGCCAGGACCGGATCAGAAATTGTCACCGATGTTTGCCCGGAAACGGGAATCAAACTCGGGTTGCCGGGTTTGTACTGCAGTGTGCTAACCGCTGCACTGCCTCCAGTTGGTTAACACACACACACACTCAGAACTGAACGCATCACCACTGAGATGAGAAACTCCGTCCGTCAGCGTACGTCCGACACCGTGGTGCCGTAGGAGCGCGTGGCCAAGGGAGGTGGCCTCGCGGTGTCTACACAACTCCCCATCGCTTGGGAGACATTCCTCTGTGGTGGACGTGCTCATGCTGAGCCACGCGGAGATGCTTCTCTCATAACGGCGGCCTGGCCCACGTGGAAAACGCAAGCGCGTTGGGTTGATTTCGTTTGAAACTCAAAGCAGGTGTGAGGGCGGGGGTAAGGGAGTCTCATCGGCACGAGCGACCCGGGGGGGTTATCAACACGACGATCGCAAAACGGAAATAACAAAGCGCTGCACAGCGGCGGAGCGAATGGAAACCAGCGCAAAAACAACCACGTCATACGGCGGGGCAGCAATCGGGTTCCATTATTCTCACTGCGATGAAACGTAAACACGACGGCCTCGTGCTGTTGCTGCTGCGGTGTTCACGACGACCCAAGGAGCGGAGTGCGGCGAGAGCGGAGCCCAAATTACTCCGCCCGCGCATCACCGCAGAAATCACTGCAATTACTGGGCATGGAAAAAAGCGTCATGAATCAAAATAAACACGATGTCTCCCGCCCGACGGGAACACTGAAATGAAGAATCGTGCATGAAGAGTCCAAGTCAGAGGTGATCCCATATCAATCATCATCGGCAGCAAGTCTCACGGTCAATCCACTGCTGGATGAAGGCCTCCCTAAGCCGCCACCGTCTCACATGGCGCCTGCCTGCCACGAGGCGATTTCATCATCGCTCCACCTCGCCCAGGTGGACAGACGACCACTCAGATGCGTTCCACCGCTTGGCTGCCACTCCATTATTATTATTATTCTTGGACCGTCGGCCAACGTCCCGTCTGGCCGTGACGCGGCCTGCCCGTGCCCTGCTTACTTTCCACAGATACACGAGCCTCAAGATCCCCCCCCCCCGTAGAGCATTACCACTGAGCGAGCTTGAGAACCAGTTGAGACTCGAGCGAAGCACGAGGGGGTGGTGTGGTCAACACCACGCCCGGCTGCCTTTGTCTCCCCAATGCTCATGCTTTAGTCACCACACCAGGCACACATTTAAGGCAAGGTCGGCCGAGTGAAGGCCCAGGACTGGTTCAGATATCACTCGCCACGGATGTTAGCCACGGCTGGGAATCTAACTCATTTCAATTGGGTCCACATCACCAACCACGAGATATTCGCGCGCGCACACACACACTCGTGCCGGAAGGCACTGCTTCATTTCCACTATTGTGATGTCCGACGTTTCACTACATTTCTTGTTCCTGAAAAATTCCTCCAACATGTGGATCCCCGGGTTGGGTTCTTCATTTCCATCTTCAGTCACTAATCCAACAATTAATTCTCTCGTTCCTTCAGCGGCGCGCTCGCTTGCCACAGTCTGGGCTCGACAATTAAAGGAGCCCTCCGCTGGGAAAGCAGCACTTGACGTGCAGCAGCAAGCTCGTGTAATGAGAGCGCCGAGTAAACAAGCGCGAGAACTGCGAGCGCCGGGAATGCTCCCCGCCGAGTCCCAGCTGTGGAGCGGGGCCCTCAAGTGGGCACGAGGCCCTCACGGCCAGGCCGACGGTGCGGCCTGGTGGCCTCACCCTCGCAACCTCAACCTCGCCAACGTGGACGGCGACTGCGAGCAGCCGCACTCCGACGTCACCCACACGCCGTGGAGGGTCGACAGATGCGCACCCAACAGCACAGATCCCCCCCTGCGTAGCCCTAACAGACTGTTGGGGCAAGTGCTGCTGTTAGCGAGTGGAACCTGTGAAGGCAGGCACGGCATACGAGGGGGTGAGTGGTCAGTACCACGCCCAGCCACCTTTATCTCCCGGAGTGCTGATGTTTTATACACACCGCACCAAGCGCTCAATTGAGGCCGAGTCAATCTAGTGGAGGCCCAGGATGGGTGCAGACAATCGTTACTGGTGTTGTCCGTGAGCGAGAATCGAGTGCGTGTCGCCGGATTGGTAGTGCAGCGCGCCAACTGCAGCACCAGCACTCCCCCTAGATACTTGCTCACCCACTCACTCACTTGCTCACCCACTCACTCACTTGCTCACCCACTCACTCACTTGCTCACCCACTCACACGGACACTCGACGGTGCACACGTGGTGAACAACTTCGAGCGAAGGAACGTTGAGCGAACGACTCTTCATTGCAGGGCCCCTCCGTCGTGTCCTCTCGCCCCACTGCTGCTCTTGGAGCTGCATCTCCCCGGAGGAGCTCTTGACTGGCTACCAGAACGCGGCACCACCACCACGACGCTCGCACCGGTTTATATCCCACGTGATATTATACACTTTTTGTGTTTAGTTCGTTGACCTTCCCCCGCTCTTCCCATTAGCACGGTTGGCTACACACGGTGCGAAACAAGTTCAACATACGTAAATGCACGATGACCACATTACCACCGACTGAGATTGGCAAAGGATTGAACTCCAATCACCATGCCTGCCCCCAGTCCTCCCTCCCCTCTTCCCTTGGGCATCTCACTCCGCTCCACGGAGCACACACGCACTGCCACTCCCGCAGAGCTTCTCCTAATTGCAATTAACCACCATCACCGGGCACACCGCTCTGCAGGCCGACAATGCCTCAAAATTAGCAGGCGGCGCTAAATAGAATTAACGGGCGATGCCAATTATCCCAGGACGGGGAGGGGGTAGGGACGATAAGTGGGGTGGGGGGGGCTAACTGAAAGTGGGGGGGTAGGCACCAGCCTATGTTCGTGTTGTCGCGTAAAGCCAAGCGGACACTGCGGTGGCTAGGAGAATTTAACCACCTCGCCTGCTATGCAGGAGGTCGTGGGTTCGATCCCGACCCTGATGCCTGCTGTATATTGAGAGTTTGCGTGTCTCTCTCTCATCATCACCGCGGTGGCTAGGAGATTTTGATTTAAAGCTTTCGTGACTGCAAGGATTCATCTTCTTTGGTTCTTTCGGTAAAGTCACGTAGAATGAGAATAAAATAATAAATTGATAAAATAAAATAACAAAATAATATTCTCACGACGTTTCGGCCACAACACAAGCGGCCCTCATCAGGTGAAGGGACGAGACTGTCTGGAGGACAGCGCTGGAGTGAAAAAGCCACGCTCAGATCGCGACCCCTAAGCTGTGTGAGAAGAAACAAAGCGCCTTGACAAAGGAATTAGCATAGAATTTAGCATTGAAATGTCTGAGTGATTAGCATGTGACTGGTCACAGAAATGGCCATGTCAAAGCCAAAGCATACACATCCGCAGAGGCACCCCTTGACAAAGGAATTAGCATAGAATTTAGCATTGAAATAGCTGAGTGATTAGCTTGTAACTGGTCACAGAAATAGCTATGCCAAAGTCAGAGCATACACATTCACAGAGGCACCTAGTACAAATCAAACAGGAGAATTTAGCATTGAAATAACTAGGCGAATTTAGCATTGAAATAACTGAGTGATTAGCTTGTGACTGGTCACAGAAATGGATATGTTGAAGTCAAGGCCTACACATCTGAGCTATTCACAGTAACTGGGTATACACTACAATATATAATGAATACCATATAGCGAACCAACAAAAAACCAAAATAGAAATTACCTCAATGTTATCAATAAACTCTATATATTCTCCAATCAGCTAAGCTACCAACAATAAGTCGTTATATATCACAATGCTATATGGCGAAAAAATGGGTGGATTCTTACCCTCAACTTTAGCAACACGGATAGCTACGGGCTCCATTCAGACGGACGAGTTCATCCATGGTCGGAACAGAGGAGGGGGAGAGAGACAGCTGCGAGGCGCTGTTATACTCCATGTTGTAAACCATACCATTAACCGTGGTGTGAGAGGTATTAAGAGTCAATGCCAGCGAAAGAACTGCGGTCTGAAGGTCATCGTAAAATACAATTAATTAAGAACGGAAATGGTTTAAAACATCTTTCCAATGGTTACTAAGCCAGAATCCATCTTCTCGGTTGAAATTGTCTCTGTGCTTGTATATGTGAATGGCCTCATGAACGAATCTCTCATGGTAGCCGGTTGGTTTGCAAAGAACCTCCGTCTTGGAGAAGTCAATGTCATGTGAGCCCACTGAATTATAACAGTGATCTGCCACGGCAGAGGAGTTCGTTCTACCGTGTTTCAAGTCTGCTTTATGTTCGCGGATGCGGTCCGAGATATGTCATTTGGTTTCTCCAAGGTAGCTACTACCACAAAGGCACTTAAGTTTGTAAACGCCCGGGTACTGTATGTCTGGAA